CCCGACAGCATTTCTGACACCAAATATGCAGGGGTTTCCAGCACCAGGCACTTCTCCCAAATTTCTGGGCACACAGCGGATGTCCTCCAGTTCAGTCCAGTTCTGACACCAGCTGTTGGGGTTAGCGCAGGCCCTCAGGTTGAGGGCTCAGCCCGTAGGGTCCTCCCCCCCCCCCCAACATTGTCCCCTGTACTCCCGAGTGACCCGCTACAAATTCGGGTTCCCAGGACCCTCCACAGTTTGCTGCAATGGCTCACTGAAATCAAGAAGGCACTTACCTTTGTGGTTTAAAGGCTACAGCTCAGGAGCCCCCAGGTGGAGGGGGATGCAGGGGCAAGGAGGGTGGAGGGAGAGCTGCCACACCCTCTCCCGGTGGGCGCACCTTCGCCTAGCACTGTGTGTGTACCAGCCACAAAGCTCTCCAAGCCCCTTAGGTGACGGTTTTCCCGGAGGTTCTCTTAGGGTTTTTCTGGAGGGTTTATGTTGTGATGAAATCAGTAGCCATTGGTTGTGGGCTGGATCCCCACCTCCCCCTCTCATCCTCTGAAGTGGGGGTGGAGCTGAATGTTCCCAGTCTCTAGTCCCCTGGTAGGTTTCTCTGGCAGCCTGAGCCTCCCTGCAACCGGTCACCTCCTTAGCATAGACTCTGGTGCGCTTGAAAGGGGTTTGTAGGTGTAACAACAGATGCCCCTCTCGCCCCATCAGTCAGGAATCCCAAAGGATCTGGGAGCTCTGGTGCTGGGAAGCAAGTATTTCTTACTCTGTCACAATATCACACCTTGTTCTCAGACCCAGAAGGCGTCGCTCCTGTAGCAGAGGAGACCCCCAGCGTATACCAAGGTCAGTTCACTGGTATTAAACTTTGTGTGAGGAAACTCGCCTTTGGGGAGAAATTAGAGTTCTCTCCATGCAGCTGTGTAGTGACTCGTGATTTTTAAAACATTTTTTAGCCTTGTTTCAGCCCATAAGAATGAATGCATGCACAATTTTTTTAACTTTTCTTATTGTGCAGTCCTTATTTATTTTTTATTTTTTATTTTTTTTTTCAACGTTTATTTATTTTTGCCACAGAGAGAGACAGAGCATGAACGGGGGAGGGGCAGAGAGAGAGGGACACAAAGAATCGGAAACAGGCTCCAGGCTCTGAGCCATCAGCCCAGAGCCTGACGCGGGGCTCGAACTCATGGACCGCGAGATCGTGACCTGGCTGAAGTCAGACGCTTAACCGACTGCGCCACCCAGGCGCCCCTGTGCAGTCCTTATTTAAATAAAAGTAAATCATGTATCTGTTAAGGATTTCTACTAGTCTTTTTTTTGTAGTAATACTTTATTATTAGTAAGTAATATATTGCTGGGCACAGTACACCTAATAGTGTCAAATTTATAAATGCATTAAATTAACTAGATATTAAAATTCCATGTTCAGAATTTTTGCTTATATTTTCTCCATTGTTTAAATGCTGTTAACATATTTTGTAATTATTTCTTGGGTCTAGGTAATAAACCGGTTTGAATGATACTCACAGGAGAGTAAAGAACATCCAAGAAAATAATTAATATTACCTCAGGGATTGTGTGTGTGTGTGTGTGTGTGTTAAATAGCTTAAGAATGCAAACAATGAGTGAAGATATGAAAACATTTGAGACTCACTACAACAATGATTAAGTTCTGTAATTAATATTTTTAGTGTTTACAGCCCTCTTAAAGATGGAGTGTTGCCAAAGTACCACATTGATACTGTGAATGACAGAAAATGAAGGTGCTAATGGGTTCTAAGATCGTTAGCACAAAAGGGAAAAAGGAATTCAATGGGACACAGTGTTTTGGCTGAACACTTCAATGACATGGTAAGGAATTAAATTCCTTTCTAGAGCCACAGAATGGTAGGTACGGAATTGGTCTAAAGACTTGTGTGATTGTTGCTATGGGAACTAGACCTCTCTTCTTGATGTGTTAGGGTTCTCTGCAGCAACAATTACTTAACCCAAATTTTGTGCTGTAATTTTTGTTTCTTTTGTTAAAAAGTTGAATGCATTTAGGAGATAATGTCACTGTCATTCAAAAGATGGGATACACTGGTTTCTGCTCATTTCTGCGGAATACCACAAATAACTTGTAATAAGTGCTGATACATGGATAGACTTAGCTTACATTCTCCTTTGAAACTGTGCAAGTCCCACACTGTCTCTGGAACTGATGACAAATCATAAATATTCTGTCTCATCAGACTTTCAATTATGTGTGGATACCTAAATACTGTAATTTAAGATACTTTGTGGTATTTCATGTGAATTAATATTTTAAAGCTAAGCATCCTTAGTTCTTAATCTCCTTGCACCACTTAATTTTAATGCCCAATAAAACAGTTTAATTCTTGATAGAATTGAGAAATTTGGGTTAAATTATTATGGAAACTTTAATACATGTCAGCACACTGAAGTTGTGGTTCCTTTTTTTAGTGTTTATTTATTTTGAGAGAGAGAGAGAGAGCTAGTGCGCGCGCACACACACACACACACACACACACACACGAGTGGGGGAGGATCAGAGAAAGAGGAGGGAGAATTGCAAGCAGGGATTCTGATGCGGGGCGTATTCACACAACCTTGAGATCATGACCCGAGCCAATATCAAGAGTCAGAAAGTTAACCAACTGAGCCATCCAGGAGCCCCTGAAGTTATGGCTTCTATCCCCAGGTGATTGAGCTCCTCCAGAGCACTAATTTTCTCAACTGTTTTTCTTAGCCTATGGCTTCTGACTTATTTGTGCTGCTTACAGTGTATTAACTCATGAGGATTTATTGTCTGCCAGTCACATGCTTCCCTTGACTCTTTTAGGAATATATCTTGGATATAGTCCTCCTCAAGGACACTCTGGAGCCTCTCTAGCTTTCACTGTGAGGTCAGCTCTCAGATGACCAGAGATGAGGTGCGCGCCCCAAACATCCCAGTGCACGCTTCAGCGACAGAGATTGTGATGGGCTCCGCTACCTTATTCCAGAGAGTAGTATGAGCACAGCATGACGCCTGTAACAATCGGGGAAGTTCTCCGGTTTTCCATGATTAAGTAAAGCTGCACACAGTTCACTGGAGTGACTGTGGACTACAGAGTCCGCTTTTTCTAGGACATAATTTAACAGTGACAGAATCCTTTGACGGAGGCAGGTCCTAACACTGCTTGCTTGCAAATGTTTTCTATCACTTCCTCCTGAAATACCCCAAATATTAATCAATGTGCTTCTTCAGCGGCCGTGAGGATTGTTATAATCCAGCACTTTGAGTTGTTCAGAGGCAGTGTAGAATATGGTTTGTCTCCACACTATGCCCTTGAGCCCTTGTTTCAGAGAGAACACTGGTAAAGGAATTAAAATGTGTGTTGATGTTTCCTTTCTCTATCTTGGTTCAGTCTTTGTTTTCAAATTTTGAAAGTAATGTCACGATCTTGTGGACATGGGAGAATATGATCATTTTCTGAGTTTAAAAAGCTGGGTACAAAAGAGATACAGTTTCTTGATATCTTGAATATGACAGGGACTCTGTTTTATTGCTTTATCTAAATATGAATCTTCAAAGCACAGTGCTTACTCTTCTAGAGCATCAAGACCATTTCTGGAGTATGTGATACAAGATAGTTTTTAGGAGATTAATTCCCTGATCTTAGGTTTCACGTGTGCTTTTTCCTAAGGCATATTATTCTTTTCTTTTTAATGTTTTTATTTTATTTTTGAGAGATAGTGTGAGCAGGGGAGGGGCAGAGAGAGAAGGAGACACAGAACCCGAAGCAGGCTCCAGGCTGCGAGCTGTGGGCACAGAGCCCGACACGGGGCTTGAACTGACGGACTGTGAGATCATGACCTGAACTGAAGTGGGACACTTAACCTACTGAGCGCCCCACCTAAGGCATATTATTCCGAGAAAGTGTCTGAGTTGTGTTTTTACATCTTTCCCCTCTGTTCTCCTGCCCCCCTTCCTCCACTTTATGAAACGCATGTGTGCGTATGCGGCCCCATCGTGAGTCTTCCCGAGGCACGTTGCACAGGTGAGAAGCGGCTCGAAGAGAAAGGGGCAGCTCTTGTGTGGGACTTGCTGTTGAGGAAGTTGATGGCTGTAATGAATAGCTAAAATTTTTGGTTGCCAATTTCTTGCTTTCAACACAACTGAAAGAAGACAATTAATAATACTTTTTGGTGACAGATACTGCTTTCTGAAGGAGGTACAACAGTTGAGAGTGGTTGCCATAACAAGATGCTACCTCATCGTCCACTTAAAATGTCATCTAAGTTCCTCAGTGCTTATAGCAGTAAAAGGTCATTGGCACTCAGCTGTCTTCTTCACCAGCAAGTAATATTAACCCATGGACACGTTAAGGATTGTGAAAAATCTCTATCCATCTCACTAAAAGATGTATTTCCAATTGAATTTTAATATTTAATACTTAACAAAAATTTTAGTGTATTTATATTTTAGGCTCTGTTATGTACCTCTAAGAGTAATGATAATTTGGTCAAATAGAATTTTTAATCATTTAGAATCTTTACCACAGAGAATTAAAAATTACATTTATGATTTTATGTCCATACAAGTATATAAGCACATGAATGTGTGTGTGTGTACACACAGAAGTCTTTTTTTAAAGCACCCTTTACACCTAGCACAGAGCCCAGCATGACTTGAACTCACTGCCTTGAGATCATAACCTGAGCTGAGAGCAAGAGTTGGATGCTTAACCAACTGAGCCACCCAGGCACCCAAGAAAGAAATCTTGTATTTATTTATTTTTAAAAGCTTTATTTATCTATTGTGAGAGAGCTAGAGAGCATGAGGGAGGGGCAGAGGGAGAGGGAGGGAGAGAATCCCAAGCAGCTCCAGGCTCTGAGCTGTCAGCGCAGAGCCCAATGAGGGGCTTGAACCCATGAACCATGAGATCATGACCTGAGCCAAAATCAAGAGTTGGATGCTTAACTGACGGAGCTGCCCGGGTTACCCAAGAGAGAAGTCTTTTAAACCTAAGCATGCTTTACAGTAGGATACAATTCTGTGGGGGAAGGTAGAATGGAAATAAGAATTTAAGGACAAAAATGCAAAATGTAACATTTTAAGCCTTTTAGATGAACTTGTTCATATGTTTTCCGGTGGATGATGGATGATGGTTGGCGTACAGTTGGTGTGGCATTTATATTCCTGTTGATACATGAAAGAGGAGATGATGTAAAAGTTTTATCTCAAAATTTCCATGTAAATTATACAAGATATTATGTGCCACTAGACTTACAGACAAGGATTCTAGGCGTCACTGCACATGGGTGTACGTATATAATGGTCGCCTTACTGCACATGTGTGTACCGTATAATAGTCCTGCCACGGGTAGGTGCATCATTCCGCCGCGCATACGTGTGATGGTTGTCCTCCCGTGCTTACATGTATGTGTGATTGATGGTCGTCGCGCCGTGCATCCGTGTACGTGTGTGATGGTCGTCCCGCGTGCGTACGTGTATGTGTGTGATGGTTGTCCCGCCGCGCCTATGTATACGTGTGTGATGGTCGTCTTGCACGTGTACGTGTGATGGTCGTTCCGCTGCATGTACGTGTGTGTGGTCATTGTCCCACCGCGTGTACATGCACGTGTGATGGTCGTCCTGCCACGTGTACGTGTGATGGTGGTCCCGTCATGCGTACGAGTACACGTACGTGCGACGGCCATCTTGAGCCCTATGGGAGACCGGTGGATGAATATCTCTCGGGGCCAGAGCCGTCTGTCCACCTTGCATCTCTGATTACGGCACTGTGACGCCCGGCGTGGGGAGGGTACAGCTGATCGCGTACAACGTACTTTGTTTGGGGAACGTGACGTACCAAGGAGAGGAAGGGAGGCCTAGTGTGTTTGTTCAATGTGGGTCCTGCGTGCCGTCTTCGGGGCCCTGCGTGGTCTCGGTTTTCCTCAGCTGAAAGGCAGATGCGCTCTCTTTCTGTGCCAGGTGGGCCCTCCCCCGTTGTCCCGCTGCCCAGACCCCTCCTGCATCACCTCGGGTCTTTTCCTGCGACGTTCCCCCTTCTGCATGGGCTTCGCTGCCTTTCCTGGCTCAGCGAAGACTGACCCAACCGAGGAATGATGCGGCTTGGAGCCGGAGCTTTTGCAGGCAGCGCCATGCTTGTCTGCAAAGTGCGCCTGCACCGCCGGCCGTGCGGTGAGCTCGCTGCCTCCCTCCTTCCCCAGCTTCGGCCACACCTGCGTGAGAGACGCGTGGCGCTCCCTCGCTCGGTGGCGGGGTGTTGTTTCTCTCGTAGATCTCTGTCTCGCTTATTGCAGCCTGTCGCCTTCACTGTGCTGTCAGGTGGGCTGAGTGGCGTGGGGTGTCTTCCCCCGAGCTCCAGGGAGGCAGCCAGGCTGGTCTTCCTGCTTGTGTGTTCTGTGATTTCACGTTCCACGATTTCACGTTCTAGGATCTCACGTTCCAGGATCTCACAGTCCATGATTTCAGGTTCCAGGATTTCAGGTTCCAAGATCTCACGTTCCATGATTTCACGTTGGCTGCGCACAGTTGTCTGGCTGGGTGGAGTGTGGACTGCGTTAGGTGCCATGGATCAAGCCCCCCACCTTCCGAGCTGAGTCACCAGCGTGCCATTGCTCGTGGGTGTATTTTCCTGGGCTGAACCCCACGCTGTGATTCTTGAAAGAACTGTAGAAGGGTTAGCATAGGATTTGGAAACTGTGACAGGGTCCAAAGCTTTGTCTTCCAGCCCAGATGTGGATGGACCTCCCGGCACCTGCACACGTGGGGCGCTTTACGGGCATGTTGACCCGACTCGAAGGCCCTGCGAGGTGGATGTGATCCCTGATGTGTGTGCCATTCATGAAGGGTAGACACACACAAACCACCAATTCTCAGAAAACGGGCGTGTTACTGCACAGACCGTGCAAGGGGTTCTGAGGAGCAGCTGTGGGTTGACATCGAGGCATCAGAAATGTGTGAGAAAGAGCATTTCCGTGGGATCAGCTCATTGCAAGTGGATGATTGCTTAGCTTATGCTCTTAAAAAATTGATGTTGAAAAAAATCATAAAACTCATCTTAATTTTCTTAACACCGTCTCTGTGAGGCCAGTGAGAAATGGCTTTGTCAGGGAGAGCCAATGAGCGGAAGGTGTGCATGCAGCCCTGTCCCCCCCGCTTCTGCCCCAGAGCTGCCTGCAGCAGAGGGTGGACAGCATGTTTTGGGGGATCTCTTTGTCAGATCATAAGCATAAACAGTGCCTTTCTCTTTAGTTTTTTCCTTTCCTTTCTTTCTGTTCCTTTTTTCTTGTTATCAAAGGAGCTATAGAACTTGGATATTATTTTAGATAAACAGGTTCTTTGATCTCATTGGCTCACTTTTTTTTTTTTCCTCCACAAATCACATCTTACTTGCTGCTTTCTATTCCCGCCTGATAGAGTTTTTACCCCGTCTGTACGATTGGGTTCTTCTTTTGAAGATTTTAGATAAACTGTCTCCTGCATTGCCTGTGTTCAGATCTCTGTAGGATCCGCGAGCACACCGGAGTCCTGATGGGTGCGTGTGTCTTCTTTCCTTCTGTGCCGCGGTGGTAGTTACGTTCTGAGACTGGTAGGAACCCCGTGCAAGTGCCCGTCACCAACCACTAATGAGCCGTGCCCACGTCAAGCTGAGGAAGAGTCCTGAAAATATTTCTCCTTGTAGCCTCCGGGAGGAGCCAGCCCCACAGGCACTGTAGTCCGGTGGGACTGATTTTCCACTTGGGACCTTCAGAGCTGTAAGACAACACACTTGTAGTTTTTAAGAAAGAAAGACAAATTCTTTTTCTTCTCTCTCTTTCAAAGATAACACCCCCTCGGGGCGCCTGGGTGGCTCAGTCGGTTGAGTGTCCGACTTCGGCTCAGGTCATGATCTTGTGGTCCATGAGTTCGAGCCCTGCATTGGGCTCTGTGCTTACAGCTCAGAGCCTGGAGCCTGCTTCTGATTCTGTGTCTCCCTCTCTCTCTGTCCCTCCCTCCCTCATGCTCTGTCTCTCTCTGTCTCAGAAATAAATAAACATTAAAAAAAAAAATTGGAAAAAAAAAAAGAAAGAAACCCCAAAACCCTTTCTTCAGGTTTGTGCTTATTCGAAGGCAGAGTGGGGCGGGTCGTTAAGTGGCTGTTCAGCTGGAAGCGGCTCAGATTCAGGGTGGGACTTGCTCACAGACACTGCTCCACCTGCTTCGCATCCCCTCATTTGGGTGAACCTGGCACCAGGGGCTGGTTTGCAGGAGCTGGGAGCCGGCGCAGTGTGGGGTCCGATCGGCCTGTGTTCCTCCGTGGGTCGGCCCCACCTGGCTGCTCTGTGCCCTAGGCCCTGTCTTGCCAGATGGCTCTGTCCTAATATTGTAGATGATTTTATCAGGGGACTCACTATGGATCAAATGTTTGTTTTCCTACAAAATTCTAACCCTAACCCCAGCTAGGTAGAATTTGGAGGTGGTGCCATTGGGACATAATTAAGGTTAGATGAGGTCATGAGGTTTGGGCCCCACAATGGGATCAGTGCTTTTGTAGGAAGAGGCGGGTGCAGCCAGCAGGCAGCCATCGGCACTCCAGGAAGAGGCCTTCCCCAGCACCGGGATCTTGAGCCCCAGCCCCAGAGCAGTGAGAAGTCGGTCATAGGAGCCCAGGCCGACCAAGATGGGGTGACAGCCTGCATGAGAATTTGTGCCACAGGCGCGGGTTTTCACAAGAACATCCTCGGGGCCGACGTGCCAGGGTGGGGTCTGCACGCGACGCCTGGGTTTACGGTGGCTCCCTGGGCATCCCGGGCAGCTTGTGAAGCTAGGGGGCCTCGTGAGGTGAGGTGGGGGCTGTCTGCTTTGAGTCTTACTGACCGAAATCAGCCCGATTGGGTGCCATAGCCACTGAGCTCTGGTGAAACCAGAGATCATCACCTCGAAACCCAGAAGTGTGCTGGTTCAGAATTTTGGATGGTGCGTACGGAGTGACATGTTCATTCGAGGAGATGATGTCAGGGTCTGCCTGCCCCTCTGTATAAGTGGATCGTGTTAGACATCACTCCATGTACTTCACAGTGACTACATCTCTCTATATCAGTAGGGTGACGTCTGGTTAGAAGCGCGGTCACTGGTGATGAAGTGCATTGTACTTGTACTCGAGCAGATCTGAGGGTTTTGTGTCCCCCTGCCGCCCCAGTTCTTGAATCCAACTCTACGTCTTTCTCATGGCAGCTTTTGTTGTTGTCCTGTAGAGAAATGGCTGTTTCTGGGGTGTTGGGGGCCAGTCTTCAGGTGAGTGGTGTCCCAGCCCCTTGGGTCCGGTTTGCTGGTCCCACACTGTTCCCGATAGTGTTGTGTGGGGACTCACGGGCACACTTGTGTCTTATGGAGGAGATTCAAGTTGTGTGCATGTCACCTACACCTTTGATAAACCCGATGTTACCAGGTGAAGTATCTCAGCCGAGGACAAGGCTCCGACGGCATGGAGTGCATGAGCGGACAGCGAGACCTGAAGGTGCCACCAGGGAGCAGAAGCTATATTATCCTCGAATCAGGCATCCTTCCTTTACTCCTAGCAGTATTTCAATAAGAAGCCTTTAAAAATTTTTTTAATGTTTATTTATTTTGAGAGAAACAGAGCATGAGCAGGGAAGGGACAGAGAGAGGGAGACACAGAATCCGAAGCAGGCTCCAGGCTCTGAGCTGTCAGCACAGAGCCCAACGCGGGACTTGAACCCGTGAACTGTGAGATCGTAACCTGAGCCAAAGTCAGATGCTCAACTGACTGAGCCACCCAGACACCCCTTCATTTTTTTCTTTTAAAGTTTATTTTTTTTGAGAGAGAGAGAGAGAGAGAGAGAGGATCCCAACTAGGCTCTGCACTGTCAGCACAGAGCCCACTGTGGGGCTCGAGCTCATGAACTGTGAGGTCACGACCTGAGCCAAAGTTGGTCCATCCACTGCCTCAGCCCCCCAGGTGCCCCTCCCCTAGTTTTCCCGTTTTCAGTGTGGCTTCGTTGTGAAACGCTTGTGAGCCTCAGGGAATGAGCACGGTCAGTCCTGTGTCTGTGGACCAGTGACACAGGGCCCTGGTCTGTTAACCCAGAGCAGGTGCACACAGACCTTCTGCTCCCGTTTATCTTCCTGGGTGAAGCGACTGTTCTAGTTTTTCTCCACATTTCAAGCGTGGGAGGTTTGCTTTCTTCCTGGTGAGCTTCCGGAGTTCTTTATATGTCCTGGACACATAAAACCTTGTCAGATACGTAACTGCAGAGAGTCCCCATCTGTAGTTTGCCTTTTATTCTCTGAACAGTCTCTCACGCAGAAGCTGGCTTTCGGTGGCAGAAGGCTACATCTTCAAGCGGGTAGTTCTCATTGTGTTTTCAGGAACACACTGGTGGTGTTTTAGATGGCCCCCAGAGTGGGACAGACCACGTCACTGATCAGATACACATTGTCACTGCTGCATTCCAGCCCTTTGGGAGTAAGTTGTTCTGTTGCGTGAAAGGTGAACCGGACTCAGACCCTGCCTGGATGTGGGTGGTCGTGTGGCTGCAGATGTGGCCCGTGAATGTTGTCGTGCATCTCTCTAGAATGAGCATGTCCCAGGTGAGTGGTCCAGTGGCTGCAGATGTGGCCCACGGATGTGGTCGTGGGTCTCTCTAGAATGAGGGTGTTCCAGGTGCGTGGTCCAGCGTGGTCGCAGATCACTCTGCAGACAGAGTCACATAGAACTACTCCTAGTTTTCCACTGAGCAGCTGTGCACGGATTATCCCCACACCAAACTCAGAAGGGCCTTTCTATTGCAAGGAAATACATTCGGTCAGTGCTGGCAGGAAGCTGTTTCTTTCCCCATGTCTCTGTTTCTGTCTGGGAAACAAAACAGTGACTTTCTCCACTTCTTCACTGTCATTGGACACACATTCTCCAACCATTCCATGTTATTGTTAACACTGGATTTTTAAATTTGTAAAGTAAACATTATTTATATAATTTCCCCAAGTTTGAGGATAATAACAAGCACATTGTAGAAAGCTTGAGGAGTACTGAAAAGCAAAACGAAGAAAGTAGTGATGGGTTGTAACCCCACCACCCACATGTAACCACTGCTGGTATTTTGTCGTTTTCTGAGTGACGGATGCTTCCCATGATTTGTGGGACTGCCCGCTGATTCCCTATACTGAGAAGCTCGGAGAATTCGAGATTGATGACTTTCCCTGGAAATGTTGGCCTCTCCTCCCTTCCTGCTGGTATACCCAAGTAGAAACAATGTAAACAAGAAACGTGTTTTTAAAAGATTTAGAATGTTGCAGGTAATTCATAGTTGAATGCAGAATTTTAACCCTCAAAATTCTTATCCTCCCTGGCTATACCTGTGTATGAGACTTTGGTGTTTCTGTGC